CAGAACTCGTTTTGGTTCGTTACTTTATTTGTAAAGAACAGGTTCAGAGGATGAGTGACGGTTTAAGAAGCTGTGCCAAAAATGACAGTCAATGTTCTAAAGCCAAACGAAATGTCCAACAGGTTCACTTCAGCAGCTTCATTAAATAACATGTAACTGTTGAGACTCTTTAAATCAGTGCTTATAAAAAACAGAACCCCTTTTTTTTAATTTTAATATATTATTAAGATATTTTAATGACAATATAATCCAAACGAAAAAATGAAAACCATCACCCCACTTATGGATATAAACACCTACCTACCCCTCCACCCACTCCACAGAAACACACACACACTCACCTGAGAGGAGGTATACAAATTAAGGAGAATACATCTAAACACTGAACTTAGGACACAAAAGCAAATGTTGTCAAGATGAGTCCAAATGTTCCAGAAAGGCACCCCAAGATTCTTCCCATTTCTGTTAACATTTTGAATGATTGTTTCCCAGTGTGGATCTTATTGTTTATGGTCTTATCGTCTAGGAGTGTATGGACTGCCGAGGTGTCCCGGTGAGAGCTCCCACATCTGTGACATGATCCGCAAAGCTCTGAATAATGGCGCCTACACGGACCTGGTCCAGAAACAGTAAGATGTTCTTTGTTCTTTCTCCTGTTGATTTGTTTTTTTTGGTTTTGTGATTCTGATGATAATATGTAACATGTCTTGTTGTGTTTATCTGAGGGGACGACTGACTGGTTGTTGTGTTTGTGTTGCTCAGTCTGGTGCAGGCGCAGTACTGGCACGACCCGTTAAACGACGACCTGTACAAGAAGCACAGCCTGTTTCTGGCCGACGTCAACCAGGAGAGGGTCAGTGAGAGAGCAGAGCTGCAGAGAACGTTTGCACAAATGTTCAAGTCAGAATTTGTATCTCAGATGTTTGAAGAGCTGCTCTACTGAAGCTGAAAACCTAGTCTTACAAAATAAGGGCGTGATAAGGTCTGTTTCACAGCTTTGAGTTTCAGTCATAGTTCCTATTAAGAGATTAATTCTTCTTGATCAGATCCAGTAAAAACTCCAGTGTGCCAGTGACAACAGCATTTTTTTTTTACCACTTTCTAAAAATGTAACAAACTGTTTTAATTTGTGTTGCACATTTCAGCAACAGTATCAGCAAGTGCTTCACACAACACATAAAAAAAAAGCATGACAACGTGCAGAAGAAATGTTAAAAAAGGTAATTTGAAAATCATTGAAACAAACAATTAGCTCAAATAAAATCCACTATTTAACTCATTATGTGTTTATGACAGAATGTCTTTGAAAATAAAACAACACAGGAAGTTACAACTAATGCAGAAAATGATTTTCTTCATACCGTCTCGTCTTGATCTGAGAGATTTTGAGACATGGACAAGATCTATGTTTAGGATGGAGGTGGAGATATGGACATATGTGATGTAGAGTGAGATGTATGTGATTGAGATATGGACATATGTGATGTAGAGTGAGATGTATGTGATTTATATATGGACATATGATAGACACAGAGATGCATGGAGTTAATAGAGACATTGATAATGGAGAGAGAGATGCACAAAAAGAGATTTTTGAACATGTTGCTGCTCATTTCAATTTGATGTTTCTGTAGCTTAAAATCAATGTCGGCCATAATCAGCTGTCCTACTATCTTGTCATATTTGTCCTTTATCCCGCTTTAAGGCTGTAAATGAGACTTACAAGAAGAATCTTCAGCTGCTGGAGAAGTTCGTCATGGTCAAGTTCCTGCAGGACACCGTAGTGGATCCCGCTGATACGGAGGTAACTCCCAAACACAGACACTGGACAGTAGTTTTAAATATGCTGCAGACTTCTATTGAGGGATAAATGTGTGTGTGTGTTTGAACTGTTTTCATCAGATGATAAGTGCATGTCGTAAAAGCAGCATCACAAACTGTTTTTGTTCCGTTTCTCGCCGTAGTGGTTCGGCTTCCTGAAAACGGGTCAGGCCAAAGAGATGGAAACTCTGCAGGAGAGCGTCCTCTACAAAGAGGTAAGAGTTGATGAGCTTTATCTCTTTAAACGTTGTCATGTTTCTTCATGACTAAAACAAAATCCTCCCTAGTTTTTTAAGTTACTATGCAAGTTGTTACACTTCGTCCTTACGCTTGCACATTAAAAAGGTTAGTGTATGTTCAGTCTTTAACATATCGTATATTTCTTTAACGCCCAAACCAGACACTTTCTCCAATTAGTTGAAGATTTAATTTGTAATTTATAAAACTTTTTTGGGGGTCGGCAAGAAACCTTAAATAAACCACTACTTCTGTAGTTGAGTTTACATTAAAGGTCACATATTCTCCTCCTTCTCAACCAGTTTAATTAAAGTCTCAGAGCCCCTCAAAACATGTGTGAAGTTTCTTGTTCTAAATCCACTCTGATCCTGTATTTGATCATGTCTATAAACCCCTCTATTTCAGCCCTGCTCAGAACAGGCTGTTTCTGTGTCTGTACCTTTAAATATGTAAATGAGCTGTGTCTGACCACACCCCCTCTCTGGAAGGGCTTCAGTGGCTCAGGCTTTTTCGCTCCATGTCCTATTGTTTACAGTGAGACGGCAGACTCAGAGGGCAGAACAAACACCTAGCTGTGGGAGTGTCACCCACCTGGGGGAGGGGCTACTGCCCTTTGTGATGTCACAAAGGGAAAGTCACCAAACGTCCTGTTTGAGCACACATTTTCTGAAAAGTGGAGCAGGAAAAAGATTGAGGATGGACTTTTCTCATCTTTGGGGTTTTGTAGACAGACTAGAGACACATTAGTGTTAGAAAAACATGAAGTGTATTTTGCATACTAGTGACCTTTTCAAATTGTGTCCTTACACGCAGGATCGTCTGGGCCTGGCAGCGATGGACAAAGCTGGAAAACTGGTTTTCCTGGCGTCAGAGGGAGACCACCTGCAGTTCACCAGAGAGTGGTTCAACGCTAACCTGCTGCCACTTTTACGCTAAAACACTTTGATTTTAAAGCCTCTCGCAGCAAACGTTCAATCAGACTTCAACCACTGAAACCAAGTCGACTTTTAAATTGAAAAAGCAGAAAGCTCATAATCCATTCCTTTTGCACTGATCACTTGTCGCATGTTGACACTTTTAATGTTTGATTATCGCCTCGGTTTTTACTGCTGTCTAAACACCACGCCTCATATTTAACCTCAAGTGTTTTATCACCACTTACCTTTGAGGGTAAAACTCTTGTGTTTGCATCTGTACATTTAAAAACAAAACTTTTAATCCAATAAAGACAAAAACAAAGACATTGTGTATTGCAACATTTTTAATGATGTCTCCAGTACTAATGAGCAGATCTCTGATTTTGGACCCAAAAACTAAATAAAAATGAAGTCAAAGAAAAAGAGTCGATGTAAAAGAAGTCGGTGGAGAGCAGAGTAGACGTGGCTACCACAATTATTACAGACTCTTCAATAGTTGTTCATATTTATACGGATGGTTACAGCAGATGTTTCCACTACTGAGGCGGAGTTTTAAAAACAGTCGATGATTACTTTCAGCCTCGTCTTTATCTTCTTAGTCTCTCTTTCACAGACTTGCTCTTACACGTCTCCTTATGTGGAATGTTTTTTTTTTTATACTCGGGAATGTCCTATGAGTGGGTTTAGGGGAAAGCACATGGAATGATAATTATCCTGCAGCTTTGAATTGTTCAAACATCATCAAGATGGAGCGTTTTTCTGATGTGTATAACGTGATTTCACTCTTTATTTATGTGCTCTGACACTTATTTATTATCCACTATGAATGTTAATATCAATACAGTCAACATCAGCAGAGGTGATATGATGCCTTTATCTCCTGTAAAAGGGCTTTAGGTGGAAGTGCTTCACCAGTGAATTGCATAATAACAGAAATCGATCAGACTTAAAAAAAACACATTAGCCCATCCTGACCAGGAAAAGAAGAAAGGAATAACAGCCTGAAGCATCCTGATTGGCTGCAGTGCTTGTGTCTTAAGGGACTTCTTGTTCCCCTGTTGGCTAGTCTACAAGTTAAATTTAGCTTAGCATGATCCTGATAGATATGAAATATCACACAGAGCATCGCAGCTATTGGCAAAACTCAGGAATGTTTTTTTTTGGAAAAGTGCTCACAGGCAAATTCATTGGAACGATAAGCTGCTCCCTGTTGATTGGCTGGAGGATTTGCTCCAGGGAGTAAAAGCGAGCAGACCTCTCATTGGCTGATGGAAGGGACAGCTTAAGCTGTGATTGGCTGATAAAATGACGGGGGGGAGGGGAGATATAAACACATGAGGTCCAAATCTCAGTCTACAGTGTGAGAGTTAGCTGGTGGGGCGGTGGATCAGTCAGGAAGGCAATTTGCAAAAAAAGGGAATGGGGATGGGTGTGGACGAGGAGGAGGAGGAGGAGGAGCGGCAGGTTTACTCTCCGCCCCCCCTTTCTATCCGGCAATTTCTGTTGCTGTGGTGGCGAGCTTCTTGCCGTCCCAGACGGTCTTGAACTGCTCGGGAACGGGGAACTCCGCCTGAGAGAGAGAGAGAGAGAGAGAGAGAGAGAGAGAGAGAGAGAGAGAGAGAGAGAGAGAGAGAGAGAGAGAGAGAGAGAGAGAGAGAGAGAGAGAGAGAGAGAGAGAGAGAGAGAGAGAGAGAGAGAGAGAGAGAGAGAGAGAGAGAGAGAGAGAGAGAGAGAGAGAGAGAGAAGGCAAACTGAGTTTTTATTTTAGGGCAACATAAAAAGGACGAGGCTGGCAAACGAAAGTCATCCAGTCACACTTTCACCACCTCATTAACATCATCAATGCTAACTTTTAACGACCCTCACACCCTACTGAAGTACTGTAATGGTCATCTTATAACAACATTATGCAATATGTTTGACAGTCATCCAGGTTGGACTTCTGTGCTGCTGCGTTCTGACTTTTTTAGTTGTTTTTCTCTTTTGTACTCTCGTCAATCCACATTCTCCTTTTTTAAGATTTGTTTTTGGGTTTTTTGTGCCTTTAATGTAGAGATAGGACAGTGGACAGAGTCGGAAATCAGGGAGAGAGAGAGAGTGGGGAATGATGTGCGGGAAAGGCTGGATTCGAACCTGGGCCGCCCGCTTGGAAGACTACAGCCTCAATACATGGGGCGCGCGCACTAACCACCGCGCCCCATCAATGCTAACTGTTAACGACCCTCACACACCATAATTCATGCTTTTATCTCCTCACTACTGAAGTACTGTAATGGTCTTTTAACAGGTATTAATGAGACTCCCTCTCCTGGTCCTTGAACAGCAGAGAGGTCGTCAATAAGGCACAAGAAAAACTGCATATCCACGAGATCTCACCACTTTCTACAAAGCAACGTAGAAAGTTAAAAAATGCTTCCACACATTTACACCACCAGCTGCTGAAAGAGGAAGACATTACACATCTCACAGGACTCTTTACCTTCCTTCAGGTAAACGTTTTAAGAGCATGAATGAACCGCCTCAAGGACAGTTTTTCTCTCCAGGTAATCAGACTACTGAACAGTAGCATTACAGTTTTTTATTTTTTTATTTTCAGGTCTAATTACAGATTTTTTTCCTCAACTGTTTTTAGGTTCTTGTTTAAATGTCACATATTTTTATCCCTGCACGGGTTATGTACATTTCTTGTACAAGTCTATTTTTAATTGCACAGTTTAAGTTTGATTCATCTAGGGGGATTCTTTAAATCTTTTTTTCGGGTTAATATATATGTATGGGAGGGGGGGGCGTCGGTTTTGTGGTTTAATTTGTAACAAATGTTTCATGTACGTCTTTGTAACCTGCTACTGGATGTTTTGAATTCCCCTCGGGATCAATGCAGTATCTATCATTTACTTCATGTCAGGTGTGCTGCCTCAGATCCTCCTCACACTTTTTAAAACATCATCTATTGAAGATTTGATTGGCCGAGGACGAAGCTCTCCACTCGTCCACCGAAAGACAACAGGCCAAACAAAGAGGTCATCAAAAGTTTTTAGAAATGTCACTCACAAAGTCGCCTTCTTCGCCTTTGGGTACCAGGATGTTCATCTCTGAGCTCTTGGCGCTGACGATCTCGCAGCTCAGAGAGTCTTTGCTCAGGTAGACGTGGCACCCGTCCGTCTTGTTGATGGAGATGGTGGGGACCTTACCAATGACCTGGATATCAAAAAAAGACCATAACAATATGTGTGATGTTTCTCAAACTGATCAGCTTGTATGAAAGCAGGGCAAAATCTGGAGACTGTGGAAAACTATGCACTCTTATTTATTCTCTGTAATATTACTGAAAGATGTCTAGAAGCTTGCTCATGTATCTATCTACTCTTATCTCACAGGTAGAGACTTATTTGCAGTGTCTGAACTTTATTCTTTGCAGCTTCTTAGTTTGGACGGAGACTTTTATTTAATAAAACTTTATTTAAGTTCTGTATGTTTCTCTCTGTTAGGTCTTGTAGCAAAGACAGAAACTGAAGAGTGATAAGACGGCAGAGATCAGAAAAGCTGACTCCCTGCGTCTGTTAGAAACACTTCTCGTTGTTCTCACCTGAATCTTCACGTCCTTACAGTTGATGATCTCTACGATGCCCACGACGTCGTCGAACACCAGGCCCGTTTTCTTACAGTTGTCTGACGGAGAGAAATAAATGTATACTTTAGGTGCACAGAGATACGTATGGAGTGTAAATGTCAAGACTTTTCTGTGTCTATTTCATTTATGGATTATTTTAATCTACTATTATTTGCATTTTCAAGCAGCATGAGCAGGTAGAGCAGAATCCTTTAAGCTGGTTACTCTGATTGACCCTGATCCTGTACACCTCATGAGTCAATACTTACACATTGATTTTTCAAATAGCACATGTAGTAGTAATTTATTTCAGTCAACATATACAGTTTTCCATTAGGAAAAGCGTAGAAATAGAATAAAAATACAAGAAAAGACAAAAAGAAAATGTTAACCGAAAAGGTGTAAGCTGAAGCTTTAGCTTATTATACCTTCCCTTATTACAAATCGTGTTACTATAGGCACTACTAGTTTGGTTACAACCATCATCATCATTAAGTAATAGCTCAAGCAGCCTCATGAACACTCAGAGGATAAAGTAAACAACAAGATTTGTTGTTTTTCTGATTTTATTTGGTCAAAAACAAAAAGACAACTATTTATTTGGAAGTGCGATTGATTTTCTAGATAATTTTATATCACAGCCATAACACAAGATATACATTTATAAAAGCAGTTTATTTCACCCACAATTACAGTCGAGTATACTTTGGTTAAAGGTTTGCTTGCAGGCATTTCCAATCAATGGTTTTCTTACCAGAAGACGACAGTAGTTTTAATAGATTGAATGTATTTTTCAGTTTTCATCCAGCACACAGTTTTTTTTTTCTCTTACCTATAATGATGGAGTTGAGTTTGCCCTTGACCGTCAGGGTGCTCTTGTTACACTTGAAAGCGTAAACCACCTGTTTGAGTTCAGTGTTGTTGATCAACAGGTTCTGGTTGTCCTCTTGGTTTTCCTGCAGAACGACAGAAACGAAGAGTGAATCACAAAATAGAGAAAACTACGTCAGGAGAAAGTTTGAGATTAAAGCGCCTGTGTGGAACTTTCTGCTTGTGTTGATTTTAGCGCCCCCTGGTGGACAAAACAGTATCTCATCTCTTTGCTGATTCTGTCCTTCGGTGTACGAAGTGTAAAAATAATCTCATCCTGCCGTCTTTAACAGTCAAACGTATCACTTACTCAGAATCTTTGCTGTAAATAAAGTCTGCTTGGGCAGCGTGCAGTTCATCACCGACCCCCGCCACATCAGATTCATTAAAAGTAACTTTATAGGTTGTTTTTTCTTGTTGCTGATGGTCTCATGTGCTATCACAGTTCATCAGGACACATCAGTATTCATTTAATTACCCCCCAAAAAGTCCTCACAGGAGCTTACAGCCAGAAATTTTTTTTTTAGTTAGGGTTCTTTAATGACTGTGGCATAAAACAAACAACTCCCATAATGTTCCAATTTTTCCCATTTCATCCCACCTTTTACTTTTGAATTGAAACATTAAATTGTTTAAAAGTAATCAAGCTTTAAAAACTAAATTTATAAAAAAGCTAATTTAAACAGTTTCAACTCCAGCTGTGATTTCTCAGGAAACTTTTTCTCATGTTTGTTGAACTAACAACGCACCACTTTCCACTTCTTCCCGTCCAGCTCCAACACCGGGGGCAGCTTCTGGGTGGGGGTGGCAGACGCAGCAGGTCGGGGAGTCGGGGAGGCGAAAGGTTTGGGCCCAGTGCGTACGGCACCCTGACCCCTCAGACCAGGGTTCTTGTGGGTCTTCTGGTCGTCGCTGACGTGCTTCAGACCTGGAGAGGTCAGATTAAACAGTTAGTGAGAAGAACAGGAAATAACTGATCATTTACAAATGAGGAAAACTGAAACATTTTCTTCAAGGTTCAGTATTTGTTCTCACTGCTCCATCACTATATTCTACAGTTCAGTGTGGACCGCGGCCAGCTTTACGCACATCTTACATGCATCAGGTGTGTTCATGTGGAAACAGCATTTAATCAAACCAGGAGAAGAATGGCGTCAAGATTTGACCACTTCATTTCCTCAGACCACCTACCAGTGGTGATGTCAGACCCTTTGTTGAGTGCGGCGAACAAAGCGTTGCGAGGGTCAGGTCCCGAGTCGCCGCCACTGGGACAGGGTCCGCCTAAGTCTGCTGGGGGAGGAGGTCCAGGAGGAGGAGGGGGAGGACAACCAGCGGGGGCACTGGGGGGAGCTGCAGAGGCCGAAGCGACGGGACCCTGTCAATCAAAATCCCAGATCAGTTATTTCACTACAAGTGTGATAAAACAAGCCACAAAGTTCATTTCTGGATATTCAAGACAAAAGTTACAAGTCTTAACCACAACTTTTGTCATAATTCTTAGGTATCTTTGTATTTGTACATTTTAGTCTGTTTTAAATATTTTTGTATTCTTGTTTTTATGTCCTTAAAAGTCCAGAGTTTGATGTAGTTTCTTTTCTCTGGCTGTAGCTGCTGTCAGAGTGTCATTTCCAGCAAAACATTAATAAATATCTGTGCATGTTGAACCGGATATCAGCACAGATGTTTGATATTCAAAACATCATCACTCCCTCTCCTGTGACTTCAGTGAAAAGCTTTGTCTCTTGTAAATGATCTCTTTGGAGGCTAACTGAAGTATCATTCCTCTGCAGACTCACAGTCTTGCTCCAGCTCAGCCCGGTGGTGTGGTGCTGTTTGATGTAAGTCTGCAGATCAGTCCAGATGAGGAGATAAGCCTTCACCCAGTCCACGTGCGTCTTGTCCCTGTGAGGACGACATGAAAACAAGACGGCCTTTTGATGAAAACCTGTGCATTAAACGTTTTTTTTATCTGCCTCTGGTAATGTTTTAAATCATCTCCAGTGGTCTCTGCTTCCAACAAGGAGACAGCCAATGGACTAGAACAGGAAGTTACAAGTGAAAGAACATTTTTACAAAAAGAGGCAGCAAGTCTGGAGGGAGGTGAAGTTTAAACTAAGTGTTATGAAGGCAATCTTTCATACTTCAGTCTTATGACTTCTGTATGTCTTTAGTGTTCCCGCTGTCCATGCTCCTCCTCTCTCCATCAATCAGGACCAAACATGGAACCTGCTGCCCCCCCCCCCCCTCACTCTGGTTTTGATCAGGGATTTGAACTGTTGCAGGACGGGACAGTCACAGATGTGTTTGGGGAGAGAGTTCCACTTTCTTCAGACTTTAGCTTTACATTTCTAATCTTGCTTTTTTGTGACATTGTTTGAATGTTTTTGTGTCCTTCAACGTGTTGTGTCTGGATGTAACCCTGTAAAGTGTTTTGAAGAGCGTTATGTCAATTAAATGGAATATCTATTGTACTATTTTTAGTATTAGCAGCAAGAAATGGCCAATTAAATAAAGGCTTTTTAGCTTTTCTCCCAGATCTCTGGATTTTTTGATTTAAAACATTTGAACAGTTCTAAATCTTATAATATTTACATTTTGATATTTACTCCAAAGTCTTTTATTCATAGACGACACACTTGTTCTGCAGAGATTTTCAGCGGGCTCCCTGACAGATTAAGCGCTGCTAACATGCTAACTGATCACAGTAACATCTATCTTCTAACTGGTCTGTCCCTCTAATCTGCTCGTAAACATGAAAAGTTTAGTTGCAGGAACGAGCACACAGGAAGTCTAGCAGCGTCACGTTGCAGCGCTGACTCAGTAAAAGTTTAAAAAAAGGAGCCAGGAGGAAGGAAAGATGGAGGACAGATGGACTGAGCAATCCGTTTGGCTGCATTATCAAAGTCCTTCTGGCTCTTTCTAAAATGTCAACATGTCTCCAAAAACAAATAACAAGGTTTAAAAAAAAAAAAAAAAAAGAGAGATCATGATATTGTTTGGTAAAATATTAAAGTGATCTTTGACAGTTTTTCTGCTGCAGGTTTACTCACTTGTCCTTGAAGTCCTTGAGCACACGGTTGGTGTAGAACATGGCGGCGTCCTGCATCTCTTTAACATAAGGACCTGGTTTAGGAGCCTGGGACAACAAACAAGACGACAACAGGTCATGAGACGTTACTCAAGTTGTTCATCCTCTTTGCTTTCTTGCTGAGAGATGGAGAAGTCTGGAGGTAATCAGATGAGCTTCAAAAAGAAGAATGAAAGAGAATCCACTCTCTTCAAAGTTAGAGCTGTAACATCCAGTGTTTGAACAGATGAAGCCAATGCAAAATCCCCCTTTAGGTCCTGAGTTGAAATGCAAATTTATACAACAGATAAACAAGTTTGATATCAAGAGCTCATTTCTTTAATATGATCTCACTGTGCTGGGAAAGACATTTTTATAACACCTCTGTTTTGATTTCATGAGTTATTCATACATTTGCATAATTTGTGGTGTGGCTGAGTTGACCCACAGGTGGATGCGTTGTTTACCAGGAGGCTAGGGCTCCACCTCTTTACCTGTTTCTATATAAAATGTAAGGTAAGTTGAGACAGCATTTCCAATATGGCGACCGTCATCACACGCCTCTTCAGGAACCAAAGGGTGACTAAGACTATGTTCATGTTTTACACAGTCAATACAACTACGGGATTACCTCATTTTTAAATACTGAAATACTTTACGGTTTACCCGATTGTCTAGAAGGAAAACTAGAATATGTTATTATTTTAATACTTTAAAAATGAGTTTATTTGAATTGAAGAATTTCCTGACCTTGAAACCTCTGCAGTTAAAGTTGATCATTTCTCAAACTTTTTTAGACTTTGAATAAACCCTGTACAACTTTTTTAAGCCACAGCAATAACGACTGTTAGATTAGACAAAACATACCGACTAGTTTTACTAATTAGTGAGAAAGGAAGATTCTGATTGACCAAACTGCAAAATCTACCAGAGACAGACTAGCTGTTTCTAGCTGTTTCCAATATTTATGCTAAGAAATCAAATCAAGTATTCAAACATGAATCCATCCTCTTAACAAGAGAGCGAGTGATTCCCCAAAAGATGTCAAACTATTTCTTATAACTGGAATAAACAGTGAAGGAAAAGACTTCAGCTCAGAGGTCGAGATTATAATGAGATCTACAAACATACAAGTAATGAGTGCATCCATTAT